AGTTTTATATATATATTTCTTTTTCATAATTTTTCTATATGTTTTATTACAAGATACTGAATATAGTTCCCTGTGCTATACAGTAGGTCCTTGTTGTTTATCTATTTTATATATAGTAGTTTGTATCTGCTAATCCCAAGCTCCTAATGTACCCCTCCCCCACCTCCTTCCCCTTTGGTAACCCTAAGTTTGTTTTCTATGTCTGTGAGTCTGTTTCTGCTTTGTAAATAAGTTCCTTTGTATCATTTTTTTAGGTTCCACATAAAAGTGATGTCATATGGTATTTGTCTTTCTCCTTCTGACTTACTTCACTTAGTATGATGATCTCTAGGTCCATCCATGTTGCTGCAAATGGCATTATTTCATCCTTTTTTGTGGCTGAGTAATATTCCATTGTATCTATGTACCATCCCAGACCTATTAGTATCTATTTGTTCTTTTTCCTTCTTGTCAAAAGTAGATTTTCCTTCCCAGACAACTTTTTCCTAAAAGTAGTATCTTAGTTAAAAGAAGTCAGTTTGTCTCTTTGTATAGTCATGGAAAAAGCCCAGCGTAAAGCAGTTACTCATTGGCAATCTGAACTACACATGAAATTGAAAGTGTGCTGTGGCCGTAGCTTTTCGTAAAAGCAAGACAAGCGTGTAGACTTTTTCTACTGCTCCTCTTGGAGCACCATTTGCCCTGCAGCATTAGGGACAATCTAGGTTTTTCGTCCTCAGCACACTCTGGTGGGTCTACTTCCTGAATTGTGCCAACATTCCATATGAGCCATTTAATCACTTTACTCCTAGAGGCATTGCATGTACAGAACTCACTTGGGAACAATATGCCACTTTCCTGCTTGTTTGCCCAAGACTCCTAGGAGCTTCCTGTTATCCATCCTCAAGAGCTTGACTTTTCACTTCTTAGATACTTAGGAGATTTCACTGACTGTTCATGAGTCAAACTGCCCCGACTAAGGAAGATTCCTAATGAGAATAGCTCTTACGTTCTCCATTCGGGATGTACCACCTTCTCCCTAACTCTTGCTTCCGGTGTCAATGCCAATTCTTTTTTCACAACAAAATAGGGACCCTGATCCCAAGGTGACTTTGTTTAAGTAATGGTCTTTGGTGTGGAACCTTGTCAAAGACCTTTAGAAAATCTTTCTCTTTCCACCCCTTTTCTTCATCCTGTTATATCTACTGAAAATGTTCTTTTAAAAGATCCCTTTGTATTTAACTCTTTGGTGTCTCCATTCTCCATAGCCAAGTCCACCATCTCCACTCACTCATTCAACTCCTTAAAGGTTTATCCAGTGCCAGGGCTGAGCAAGGTCTGAACTCAGCTGGTACTGGCGTGCTTCCCACGGTGTACATTCCTGCATACCCCTGAATCCTTCTTTGTGACAGGGGTCACATTTGCAATCTGACATAGTAGCTTACATACCAGTAAATTCCAGTGACCTAATTTCACCCTTCAGTTCCTGCAAACTCTCATTGAGCTGCCCTCCACTGGGTGATTTATCTAGATTTATTATGTCGATTTGGCAAAATAGCTCTGATACAACCACTCTTGGGTTTAATAGCAGTAATCTTGCATTTCCAGCAACAATACAGGACTAGTAATCTCCCTAGGACCTTCTGCATTAAAAGCTAAGGTTTAAGAATTCACCCGTGAGCTATCATCATTTCATCCTCTGGAGAGCTCTCTGTCCCAACATCATCTGTGGTCTGTCCTCTTTCTTGAGTTAAATTGTCCTCTCTGAGTAACGTTGACATATATACACTACCAAATGTAAAATGGATGGGTAGTGGGAAGCTGCTGCATAGCACAGGGAGATCAACTAAATGCTTTGTGACCACCTAGAGGGGTGGGATAGGAAGGGTGGGGGGGAGGCTCAAGAGGGAGGGGATATGGGGATATATGTATATGTATAGCTGATTCACTTTGTTGTACAGCAGAAATTAACACAACATTGTAAAGCAATTATACTCCAATAAAGTTGTGGAAAAAAATATGGAAATTAATCCTGAAATTAACCCCAGACCATTTCAAAGCACTGGGTTTTACAGATCTTGAACTACTCTAAAGTAAATGTTGAAAATGTGAACTGCATAAAAAATAAAAATAAAAATAAATTGTTCTCTCTGACTCATTGAAAGAAACTTGCATTTGCTCTTGAGGTCTCACATATAATACTCTTCAATTTCTCTGCATTTTGAAGATTACTTTATCACTGTATTACTCCTATTCTTCCACACTTTGTAGACTCTCCTGTTATTACTTGAACCATGTTTCAGCTTAGGAAGAGAAGCTAATTACTTCCTAAAATAAAGTTATTGATACTTCCAGTTATCCGTGCAATTGGGAATGCAGGGGATATGGAATAATTTTGAATGAGGTGGTTTTTACAAAATCATTGCATTTTTATTACAGCTACCTGCCCCCAAATTAGTGAACCACTTAATCAAAATTCTAGGGCACCTATTATAATGATTAATAGTCATTAATTAATATAAGGAATTTATTGTTCACTAACGCTATGTGAGACAAAGTGTGAGGCACTGGGAATTCAATTAATTGAGAGGACATAATTTCTGCCCCCCAAGGATCTCACAGTGTGGAGTCGACATACATGCAGACACGTAAATAAACAAATCAAGGTCATTCGGTGATAGGTGAGTGACAGATGCCAAATAATAGGTAAAAATAAAGGGAAGAGTGATTGCTTCCACATCAGGGGAAGAACTGTTTTCGGAGCAGAGTGAATGATGATATTGAGCTGAGACTCCATGAATGGGTGGGAGAGTCCTGAGCAGAGCACAGGGGGAAGGGCATTGACAGGGCACTGTGGTGTGGAGTGCAACAGAAATGGTAGCAAATGAGCCTGGAGAAAACAGATAAGGTTAGAACTATAGCCCGCGGGCAAACGGAGGCAACAGGGTTATAAATAATGAAGTACCATCATCCCTCGGTATCTGCAGGGGTTTGGTTCCAGGACCGCCTACTGATACCAAAACCCGGGGATGCTCAAGTCTCCTACAGACAACCCCTTTATCCACCCACGGTTGCTTAAATCCGCAGATGCAGAACCGCGAATACAGGGCTCTGACTGTAACATGGTCAGATCTGTGATATGACTGTGCAAGCAGAGAGATCATTTAAGAAGTTATTACAGGGCTTCCCTGGTGGCGCGTTGGTTAAGCGTCTGCCTGCCAATGCAGGGGACACAGGTTCGAGCCCTGGTCCGGGAGGATCCCACATGCCTTGGAGCAACTGAGCCCGTGTGCCACAGCTGCTGAGCCTGCACTCTGGAGCCCGCGAGCCACAACTACTGAGCCCACATGCCGCAACTACTGAAGCCTGCACACCTGGAGCCCGTGCTCTGCAACAAGAGAAGCCACCGCAATGAGAAGCCCGCACACCGCAAGGAAGAGTAGCCCCCGCTCGCCGCAACTAGAGAAAGCTCCCGCACAGCAACGAAGGCCCAACGCAGACAAAAATAAAATAAATACATTTATTTAAAAAAAAAAAGAAGTTATTACAGTGTTAAAGCAAGAGCTGATAGAAGCCATGGCAGTCGGAAGTGAAAGAAGGAAGTGGGTTTAATATACAGTGAAGTGGGTATATCTGAGTACCTCAAACATTTATTTGGTTGGTAGTGAATTAAGGAAGAGCAAAAAATCAAGGGTGACCTCTTGCCAAAAATTCATTTCTAGGTAACTAGGTACATGGTGATTCTGACAACCCGAAGAGGGACTGTAGGAGGAAGAGCAGGTTAGTAATTTAGTCGGTCAGAGTATTACGAGAGGGCTTTGAAAGATAATGAGTTCTACTTTGAATATACTTGGTTTGATGCAGGATATCCAAGTGAAGATTTCTAATATGTAATTATGTAAGTCTGGTGCTTAAGCTTAGAAATATAAACAGGATAGTCACTAGCATATAAGACTGGGTCAGTTTTGCATTCTGCCTAGCTGCCTTCTAGGTACTATGCTAAGAATGACAGCAACAAACATGAATAACAAATGATTCCTCTCTGGAGTCTAGTAAGGAACAAAGACACAATAATTTATGATGTCTTATTCTTCTAATATGTCACATATCTGAATTTATTCATATAAATTACTTATTCTATATACTAAACCCTTGTCAATACAGACTCTACTTACCTTTCAGCTACATTATTATTTTAAATAACTCTTTTGATCATTCTTAAGAGTAGCAACCACCAAAGAAATGAATTACTAATATGATACACTGTCTGGTTCCAAGGATATAATAAACAGTTTATTCCAGCTGGAAAAATCATTTAGCAGAAATATTCTACTTCTTATAGAATGCCCTTTATATCACATTTTGTGAAGGACAAGTTAGTTATACCTCTTGAATCAACAAAGATTTGGCTGCTCTCATGTCATTTAGGTAGGAGAACTATTCAAAAGAGCTCTTACTTTTGCCCCTTTAAAATACCAACTCCCTTTGAAAAGTAAATGTATCACTTTTAAGGACAGTTGGCTTGTGGGTAGGAAATAATTGTTGAAAAAAAAGTGTGATGAAAACGTCTCCACATTAACCCTAACCCTTTTAAAATTCAGGAATTACCTGACACACACAACTTAAGATTTTTCTGAAGCCTTGTTTAAATAAATTATAGAAACTGTGGCATCATCATACATAAAATTATTTTATGAAACCCAAAGTGAAAAGAATGTTCTATAATTTTCATCTTCAGGTAAATAGCACATATTTCTATGGCTACCAGTGTATGCTTTGAGCAAGGGGCATAGACAAAGAATAACTTAAAGATTCTGCAATCTCTTGAAAAAAGGAAACATCGAATAGAGGAGTTTTTCAGAAACGTGTTGAAATGTATTCATAACCTTTTTTAAAATGGATATGTTCACATAATGCATGCAGCTCTGGTGTCCTATGGTTTCTACAGAACAGAAAATGTCAGACTGTGTTATTGGACGTTCTTCACATGACATCTCTTTTTTTCTATCATCATTAAACAGGGAAGGCCATGGTAAAATTTCAGTATTTGCTGTCAAAATGGCTTTAGCCACATTGTGTGGAGGGAAGATCATGGACAAATTAAGATGTAAGTTATTCTCTGCATCTCTGTTTGCTTACCCCTCCTGTATACCACGTTTTCCTCTACCCCATTCCTGCCAGGTCCCCCTGACCATTTGTGACTTTCCTCATTCTATGAGAGTTGTTTGAAATATAATCTTCGTTGATCCTTGGATTTTGTCGTAGAAATGTTTTCATATTAGATTAATGTCAATGAAATGAATGTTTTCCTTCTACGTATGGATTATTATTTTTTATAACCTGTTGAGGATCACCAGTTAGACTGTTCATGATACTAAAGTAAGATATACATTCTTTCACATTCATTTACTGTAGAACTGCCTCACAGGCATAAGTCCATCACCATAGGGAGATGAAGACCATGTTGGGCAACCTTCCGTTTCTCGGTCATCTCAAGCCAACGTTCCCGGCACAATTCCTCATTCTTCTCCACCAATGCTGTTCAAATCACTGGGCACTCCAAAGTTTCCAAAGTAGACATTGCCAGAGTGTAGGCATAGGAATTATGTACAGAAACTATAAACTGAGAATTAACTGATGCCAATGAAGACATGATAGCTAGAGTGTTGAGTGATTATGGGCCTTTTGTGTACATTTTGTCACTAAATGTGGTAGATTTTTAACCAGCAAAACAGTGAGAGTTTTCTGATTTGTTCGCATGTTTTAGGTAAAGAAGCTGAGACATAGAGAGTTAATCACACATGGTACCAGGAATTGAACCCTGACTTTTTCCCCGTACACCAGTGGTTTTCAAATTTTAGTGTATATGGAGTCACCTGGAGGGCTTTTTAAAAAAAATGGATTTCTGGGTCTCATTTCCAGAATTTCTGATTCATTAGGCCTAGAGTGGGTGTATAGAGGGCAAGCATTTTCATTTCTAACTAGTTTAAAATCATGTATAGGTGGCTGTTTTGAAGAGAAATTGCCATGTAACCCTCTCCCTTCCCCTAAATATTATGAGTCTGAGTTATAGTGCCGTATGACGAAGAGCACTGTCATGGGAATTGGGAGTCCCAGGTTGCAGGCCCAGCTGTGTGACTAATTTGCTGATTATTCTGTGGAAATCACTTCACTTCTTTAGTCCTCAACTTCCTTCTCCATCCTAAACTTGGGGATTTTGTTAGGTACCTGTAGGGTCCCTGTTGGCTGCAGGCCCCCATGACTCACGGCCTTTAGGCTCTTTTGTCACCTGCTGCCTGTCAGCTGCTGAATGTAATCTCTTGCTTCTTGATGCACCAACAGAGGAAGAATAAAGAAGGATACCAGGGTCGGGGTGGGGGGGACCTTTATTCCTTTGGAGTTTCCCCAGACGTGTTCCAAGAAGAGTTATGTCATTGGAGCAGTAGATAAGGGGAACCCCACATAACCACACATCTTCCCTCACTCCCAGGAACCTCCTTTCATGGACCAGCCAAGTGCAGTCAAGTTTCAGAGAAGCCCAAGCAGACCCTACAAGGTCCAGTTTAGTCTCTCTTCAGTTAGCCTGAAAGATGTAAAACTTTAAAGACATCTACCTCAGTACTTGATTGAGGATAACAGCTAAATTAGAAGGTGGCAGAAACAATGTCCTTTTAAAAAAAATAACTTAGAGTAATCCCTAAAGCATTTCCTTCAGGGTTAGGCTGGGAAGAGAAAGTTTAGCAAAATGAACCAGGGCAGAAGAAGAAACTCCTGAGGGCCTTGCCTACTGACCCCATGTCACCATTGGCCACTTATGCTGAGGGCAGTACGTAAAGGTTTTTTTCAGTCTTAGGAAACATTTCCAAATACTTATTCAATGTTGGGTACTTGGAGAAAAGGGTCCCTTAATAAAATAAGTTTGAGGAAAACTGAGAAAACCAGTTTTCTGCGCTTCAGAACTCCTCAGAGCGTTTTCACTAACCAGGTTCGTGCTGTGCCATCAAAGACCCAGGTGCTTTCCATCTTTCCACTCAGCTCTCCTCTGTGTCAGATTTTATCCTTCTCCTGAAGGTAAAAGGGGGTACAGCAATTTCAGGAGTCACACCCACTCCAGAGGCCCCCAGCCCTTACATCTCATGGCCAGGGTGGCATCACAGACCAATTACTACATCAACCACTGCTGACAGGAAAGGAATGCCCCTGATGGTCAGGGAGTCTTCCAGTCGTTCTAACCTCCTGGGCTGAGAAGGGCCGCTGCTTTCCCATAGCCCAGGATGAAATTTGGGGCCAATAAAGCTGAAGGGGATGGTTGTCAGGTAAGCAACAAATGATATCAGCACAGTTACAAAATTCAAGATTTAAGTAAGTGTTCGAGCAGATCTTTACCACTTGTCAAATGCCTCAAAGTTCTCCCACAAGTCTGGGATTTCAAAGCAAACAGTGTAACTGCTCCAGTGCTGTTTTCTCACCCCATCCCATCATTCACCAAATACCCACGATCAGTGAGCAAAGCATGCATGCTTTCCAGTGGCCAAAGTCAATTCTCTGCAGCTCAGTGAAAGAAGTCACAAATGCACGAGTCCCATTGGAAAGAAACTGCTCTCCAGTGTGCAGAAATAAGCTTCAGAGAGTCGCAAATTCTGTAGAGAAACAGACTGTGTGATCACGACATTTCATGGTACCTTCTGGCAGAGCAGCAGACCTGAACGTGCCCCAGTTCTCTGAATGAGGAGTCATTATATAGTTAATCCCAGAAAGGTAGTTTTAATGATTTCCGGGTAAGTCAGTTGAAAGCAATTTGGCCCAAAACAATTTAGCTAAAAGCAGTTTGGTTGGAAGAACCTCTCCAAAATGTTAATCAGAAATGAGTATCCTTAGTCACCAATATTTCAGTGATTGAATGAACAAATTGAATTGTTCAAACAGAATGAACAATGTTCATTGGCTGAATGAACAAATATGGGCAAATCCACCCACAGACAGCCATGGTTGACTCTTTTTTTTTTTTTTGACTTTTTTTTTAATAGACCTTTTTTTGAATTTAATTTCTTCCCAATGCTGTGTTAGTTTCTGTTGTACAACAAAGTGAATCAGCCATATGCATACATATAAACCCATATCCCCTCCCTCTTGAGCCTCCTTCCCACCCTCCCTATCCCACCCCTCTAGGTCGTCGCAAAGCACCGAGCTGATCTCCCTGTGCTATGCGGCTGCTTCCCACTAGCTATCTATTTTACATTCGGTAGTGTATATATGTCCATGCCACTCTCTCACTTTGTCCCAGCTTACCCCTCCACAGCAAGCATCATGCTCAATGGTGAAAAACTGAAAGCATTTCCACTAAGATCAGGAACAAGACAAGGATGTCCACTCTCACAACCCTTAGTCAACATAGTTTTGAAAGTCCTAGCCGCAGCAATTAGAAGAAAAAGAAATAAAAGGAATACAAATTTGAAAAGAAGTAAAACTGTCACTGTTTGCAGATGACATGATACTATACATAGAAAATCCTAAAGATGCCACCAGAAAACTACTAGAACTAATCAGTGAATTTGGTAAGGTTGCAGGATACAAACTTAATGCACAGAAATCTCTGGCATTCCTATACATCAACAATGAAAAATCAGAAAGAGAAATTAAGGAAACACTCCCATTTACCGTGGTTGACTCTTGGTAAGTGGAATTGTGGGTTTTCTTTCGTCTTCTTTTGCTGGCTTGCATTTAATCATAAAACAGGTGGAGTAATGATTTTATAATAAGCATTGCCTTTATAATAAGAAAAATAAAATGAAAGGATATGGAATGCCTTGGGATTTTCCTTCTTTAAATTCTAACTCACTTTACGCCAATATGCCAACTACGCTTGTTTGGCGGTTTTTCTATTTTTGTGCATAGGAATGAAAGAGATTTAGTTCATTCCAACTAGCCCCTTCATGTTGGAGAACACAGGGCAAGAATAGTTGGCTGAAAATAATTTAGAAATTTTAAAAAGCAAAAAAGTAGAAAACAGCAGAAATTTTAAAGCTGAGTTTTAAAAGCTGCTTTAAATGCTTTAAAAGGGACAACAACCCCCATGTTGCATCCCAATTTCCAGTACTCAGGTCCACCAGGAACCAATATGCAGGGTGTTCATCAGGTACCCCAGGCAGCAGAGAGCGTGAGGGCGCACCCTGCAGGTGTGGGACATAGCTATCTATACATAAACGGACCTAATATAATATATTCTGTTTCTGTCAAACTGGTTTTGGTCTGATTATAGGCTGTTAAGGATCTTAAGGAATTCTGAATCCAGTGCAATAAGCCTGGAAAGTCAGGTGCTCTTCTAAAGCTTCTGGGGAGGGCTTGTTTATGGCAAACACCTTGTATTTCTTGAGTTTCTATTACTGAACAGGTTGTTCGGCCTCCAAGCTTACCTCCAGGGTAATATTTCTAAGTTGCTGGCCTGCCTTTAATTCTTCAGTACCTCCTTCATTACTGATTGTTCTTTATACTTGGCCTAGAAGTCCCCTTTGTAAGGAAATCTTCCCTGACTCACTCCTCGCTCTAGGAACCCTCTCTCTGAGCTCCTGCTGCACCCTGTACACCCTACCGCTCCTGTACTCACACCACCTTGTCACCGTACATGATGTCGTGTCATCCAGGATGCAACCACATCTCTGTCATCCCCAATAGACTGGGACCTCCCAGAGGGCAAGAACTATGTCCTGATTTTTCTGTATAACCATTGCTTAGCACAATTTCATGTTTATTAGGTGCCAAGTTAATTTTAGTTTTAATCAATGAATGTAAGTTCTTCTGAAGTATCATTGTAAGGTGCTGCAGGAAACACAAAGGTAATTTAGACTATGATTTAGAACCTTATAGAACAGTCCTATTGGAGAGGCATAGTCTAAACATACAAGGTAAATGGCAGAAACGTGTGATATAAAATTAATAATAAAAACAGATAACATTTCTGTACCATATACTAGGTGCCAAGTATGCACCTGTGTGCTTTTCATCTAGTAACTAGCTTAATCCTTGAAACAGCCCTCTATATTATATAGATACACATATATTTCATGTTATAAGCATATTATATATGTGTGTGTATATATGTGTATATATATGAGTGTGTGTGTATATATAGATATAATATATATGTGTATATATATATTAAAAAAACAGAGGGCCCAAGATTAAGGTACAAACACATACCATGTTGAGAGCTTCCTCAGAGTCCCCTCATTTCTTTTTAAAAACCTGAGTGGTCATTAACAGCCACTTCCCTTTAATCCCAGGGACTTAGCCCTAGTTTGGCTATTGCTTAGTAGAACTTTATCAGTACAAACGAATTTAATATTAGCTTCAAGTTTGTGAAAGGTCACTGTTGGTACCCCTTCTGCTTTTACTCTAGTTAGAGATGTTGTTTAAATTATTTCAGTGGGAGATTTGAAAAGCCTAAGCTACTCTTCAAAATGTTCCCTGGCCTAGAAAATCCAAATCTAGAAGTTCATCAGGATGGCCAAATTATAGTTAACCACCCGGCCCCCAAACAAACAACATGGCAGCTTTAATGAGAAAGTACACTTACTTCTTCAAGGTTTCTTCTTCCTCCTTTTGATTGGAATTCTTGAGTTTCTATATGTGGAATTATACAAGAGTTTTGTTTTTGGTTTGGGGGGGTTTTTTTTTTGCTGTTGGCAACTTCTTTTTTTGATTAGTTATAATGAAATATGAGAGATGAAATTCACTAAGTAAACAATATTGTGAAAGTGAATGAGAACAACATTAATTTTTGTTGCTCATGTAGAATTGATGTAGCTTCATAACTGATTAGCTATTTTAAACACGATAGAAACCCTTTGTAAGTGGACTATTTAAAGAAAATGAGAGCCGATTCACATCCTCAAAACATAATCCAATAAAAGCCTATAGTGTGCTTAACATCTGGCTGCGGTGTAAAACGATGCCCCCAGATTACATTTTGACCTTGAAAAATTAAGTCCAAAATGAGCAGAGGTAGCATATTGACTTTACAACAGTTTATCCCAGCAGCTGTGCTGGCCTAGTTACAATCTAGCATGGTGACAAACCATATAATAGCCAACCCTTTCCTTCCAGTAGTGATCTCCACAGAGGAATTATAGAGTACCTTGGGAAATTATGCCAGTAATATTCATTAAGTGCCCACAGTGGCAGAAACTGAAGAAAAGAGGTTCAGTGAAGCCAGTGGCTCTGCTGAGAATAATCTGGAACCCTGACTTTACCTCACTGATCGTTGGCAAGGCCAGGCTTCCTCTCGACTGCATGAGGCAAAAGACCCTTCCCCATAAATCAGTTGCCTTCCACCCAGAACACTGTGATTTATAGGAAGTTTTCTGCTTCTGTGGGAAGTTAATCAAGTGTTTTCACTGCATCCTTATCCCCATTATGTCTTTCATTTTTCAATATCTTAAACCAAAACCCAAACGTTTTAGTGACAATATAGACGGGTAAATAGCTCGCTTGCTAGATACACACACACCCTAACATTGTCGTAATATTTTCATTGTGTATTTCAAAAGAGGTCAGCGTATTTCTCACATGTACAAAAATTCCTCCTGTCGAGTTATATATGAGTTGATAATTGACCTCAAACTAAAAATGTGATGTTCTCTGTCTTATCAAAATATGCTAATTTTATCCAAATTACTAGTTAATGCTGTATGCCAGAATCATCTACAGAAAGACACCAGAGAAAACACCATGCCAGGAATATCTCAGCATAAAAACTAGCTTTCATATTATTCTTTCATAATAAATTAAATATTTAGTTTCTGCCACGTTTTTTGTTATTTGCAGTAGATATATTGAACTAAAACAGTGGGGAATCTTTACGTGATGAATAAAGATCTTTCCTTTTCCATCCGTCAGATATTTTCTCAATGATTTCTGACTCCAGTGGGGTGATGGTTTATGGACGATACGATCAGTTCCTGCGGGAAGTTCTCAAACTACCCACAGCAGTGTTTGAAGGGCCTTCATTTGGTTACACAGAACAGTCAGCTAGATCCTGTTTCTCTCAACAGGTAGGAGAAAACTTGTTTAAGGAAGTATCTCTCAGTGGCTGCTCTCCTATGTGTCACTCCAAGTCACTACTTCTTCATGGTAACTTGTAGTGTATCTTCCAGCTTCTGACAAATGACCTCTGAGTCAGTAACTGAACTCAACACATTTGGATAATAATAATAGGTGGTGTTTCCTGACCATGAACCAGGCATCATGCTAAGTTCTTTATTTGCATTGTCTAATTTAACCCCTACAGCAACGCTATACCCTCGGAAACATTGTTACCACCACACTATCGAAAGGGTTGAATTGTTACTCAGCCTCACCTGAAACATGAGTCTGACCCAGCACCGAGCTTCACCAATTTAGCAAAGGAGACAAGAAAGGAATCACAGCATATGCCCCACGCCATCTGGGAGGCCCTAAATCTTGCACTACATTGGGGCTCAGAGCAACATATTTTAACTGGGGCTGGTACAAGTCAGCCAAGGGAAGCTGCTTAGTTTGGGGGACTCTCCGTGTTTATAGCTCTCCAGTCATGTGGAAAATCTACATGTCTACAACTATTCTTCAGCACAGCATAGTGGAGATTTAGAAATCCAGAAACTGAAGATTTGTTTACAATTTTTAAAAATCCGATCTAACCAAGTATGTCCTCTAAAAGGATCCTTTAAATAAGAAATCAGTGCTTAGCAGCCACTGAAAAGCTGCATTTACCTCCAGCTAGTAAACCTCATCTGTCTGTTTACTTGGCGATCTAAGAGGTCAAAGGTGGTGCCTCGGGCATCCCTGTAGGGCATGGATTTATATAGAATTATAAATGTATCCATACATTCAATAAGAGAAGGGATGGCTTGATACTTTAAGTATCAAACTCTACTCCCGCTGGGGGGGTGGGGCAGGATGGGGTCTCACCCAGGAAGCCTTTCTGACCTTCCCCACGCCCTCACCCGCAGGCTGGCTTAGATACCTGGCCTCTGTCCCCAGCTAAAGCATACTCCTCTTTGGAGTTCCCTTTCCCTTTCGAGTTGGTGACCTCAGAATGGATCCATTCACCTAAGCCTCCTTCTATACAACTTCTTCACCCAGAACTTCTCATCAATCACCAAGTCCTACTGATTTCACCTTCTAGAATTTTCTCAGATCTCTCTCCTCATCATCCTCGATTGCCTGGCCTATTGCATTAAACCCCAAATTGATCTCTCTGCCCCTGGATTTACTTGTTTGTTTGTACATTTGTTGATTTTAAGTAGTGCATTGTAGAATCCTCAGGAAATATACTAATGCCTCAGAATATTTCTCATTAAAAGTCAGCCAGAATATTAGGACTTTTTTAATCTAATAGAATTTATATATTCAAAAAAATTATATAGGATGTTGCCATTGCTCAAAATTCCTTTTGAAATATCCTAGAGACTGCCCATTATATAATCTTTTATATACCCTCAATGATGAGAAATTTATGTATGTGGAAATCATAGTAGCATTTCTTGACTTCCAGTAGTGATTTTTAGCCAGTATGATGAATGGTCAAAATAGATAAAATCATGTGAAGTACAAAAAGAGGCAACACTAATAAAAATAATAAGACCAGTTTATTTTTGTGCTTCATAAACTGGCTATAGCAGCAGTTCGAATGACGAAATTCCAAAATTGTTTTAATTGCTTCATTGCAAAGCCGCCCCAAGTGATTGGTTTGAAACACAGTACTATTTTAGACATATGAATTGTAGTAGCTTTTGAAAAAATACTGTCTCATTACTTATACTTTACATAATTTATCTTTTAATTATAATGCTAACAACAGCCCTATAAAAAGCTTATTTAGCATTATGAGGTAAAGCTAAAGCTGTAAATATCTACCAATAAGAAAACATTAATAGAAGGGCACCAAGACAGTTGTTTGGTGAATTACAAGGACAAGTGTAAGGTTTAAGCCTTGAAAAGGCACTGTAGCTCTTCAGCGCTGATTTCTTATCTAACAATATAAAACTATCCCATCCACCTTGATATTCTAATTCAAAAATTTAAATAAAGTAGTGATTTTTGCATGTACATTTTTTGTCATTCATACTATGAAAAGATCATATATCAATATAACTTCTTATTTTTTCACTTTGAAAGAAACTTATAGGTAAAATACATTTCTTTTCTGCCTCAGAAAAGCCCAGGATAATGACACAGAATCCGACTGAATTGTAAGAAAAGATTCATAAAGAAAGTAGAGAAGAGAATTTTTTTTTAATTTAGAGTGTTCTTTTCTAACAGGGAAGGATAGCTCCCTCCGAACAGGATTCACTCCTAATCTTGTATAGCAGAACCATTCACATTAACCACAAAATATTTAGTCCTTACGGAAGTTGAGGAGCTTTGAAAGGGAAGCTGTTCTACAAATTTAGAAGACTGATACGGGAATTGTCGAGTGTGCTGTGATGTACTATTGGGTAAAATTTTATGGAGAATGTCTACTCTCCATCTTTCCTCATCATTTTCATACTGTCCCTCATGTATGAAAATGATCCCCTCAGAATTGTTTTATTCCTTGTGATAATATTGACTCAGCCTCAGTGGAGATCATCCAGTCTTATGTAGGCTTAAATATAAAAAGCAATTAATGTTTTAAATTCAGAACTAGTTTCAAGCTCTGTTTCTTTATTTATTAGAGGTTAATTGAATGTCTTGTTTCTTCTATCTCAAATGATATTTACGTAGCAGGTAAATTAAGATTATTCTTGATTCTAAATTTTTATGGGTTTTTTGATGCAGAAAAAAGTCACCTTAAATGGCTTCTTGGACACACTCATGTCAGATCCTCCCCCGCAGTGCCTGGTCTGGCTGCCCCTTCTGCATCGACTGGCAAATGTAGAAAATGGTGAGTAGTTACTACTGAGGCAATTTTTTTAGCCTTTTTTTTAAAATTGAAGTATAATTGATTTAAAATGTTGCATTAGTTTCATGTGTACAGCACAGTGATTCAGGTATATATATATATATATATAAATAATAAAATATATATTATTTTCCCTTATAGGTTATTACAAAATATTGAGTATAATTCCCTGTGGTATACAGTAGGTCCTTGATGGTTATCTATTTTAAATATGGGAATGTGTATATGTTAATATACATATAAATAACATATATGTACATGTTAATCCCAAACTCCTAAGGCAATTTTTTTCATTACCGAAATTAGGCTATCAAATCTATAGTTATTAAGCCAAGGTCATTGTTTTAGGGAGGCCTATTTAGTAGTTCTGAATTTTAATAGAACTAACCTGTCTCCCTCATCAATAAGGCCTTATAGGTGCACTGCACAATTAGGACTGTCCATTCTAAAAATTTATTAAATCTCACAGTCTACCTCTCAGTTACAAATCAGGTGTGGCTTAAAAACTTACCGTAATGGAAAGAGAACCTCAGTAAGGAATGTGACATTTTCTAGTATTTGTTTTAGGTATGAACTTCTACTCTTGGTACACCTGGCATTGACTATTTCTTCCTAGGCACTCCATCAGGAATAGGTGGAGGAGATAGAAAAAAATTGGATGGTTGCACCTTGCTAATCTTTAGTCATATGCTCCAAATTGTAAGCTTTCAGTGGTTGTAGTTATGTAAAAGAAATGAGTAATGTAACTTTTGTCATGTGCTTTTGTTTTTATAAAAGCAAGTATTTCTATGTTAAAGGTAATTACTCTTGGCATATCCAAACTTAAATATAAAATACAGTTCAGAGCAAGGTTTAAAAAAATTTAAACATGGAACAATTCATTGCCTCCATCTGATCTTTAGATGTTCTTATTTACTGTTTAATTTAACTCTGGGAATTCTCTAGCCTTAAATAGAAAATAATTTATCTCCTATCTCTTACTATAATCTTAACTTCTACACATCTCTTTAATATACATTGGGGTTAAAGTTAGCTTATTTTAAATTCCCATTTAGAACATCTGGCATCTGCCCTAATTATCTCCCTTAGTTAAAGTTATAAATCTATCCTGTTCTGCTCATGGAGAAGATTTAAAGAATGAACTTACTAGTTTCTCTGTAAGCACTACCAATCACAGATTATTTTTTTTTTATGCTTCTTATTCATCTGCTAGAGCAAAGAGCAATCAAGGTCCAGATCATGCAGGATGAGTTCATATTACTGTTTTGCAGTTTGAGAACTAGTCATTTTCCAATTATAAACTTGTCACTTCATGGCTTCTCTCTCAGCATTTCCTGTTGCAGGAAATGAGTTCCTTAGGCCCTGTCCCAGAACAGTTGTCCCTAGATTCAAGTCTCACTTCAGCCTTTCCCAGGAGGCAGAAAAAGGGAATATGATGCTGGTTCAGAAGACAGTGTGTTCAAAACTGGTTATGTCTTTGTTTTTACAATTTACTTTTCATCTTTATTTATTTTTATTTGCAATATTTTCCCTGGCTGGTTAGCCAGAGAAAAAGTTTACCAAAAGCATGAATTGTTCTTATTGTTGTTGATATCTTTAGCTCATAACATGCAGTCACTTGGATTCAAATCTCAAATATTTTACCTTGCCTGCTTTATAATTCAAATTTTCTGCCACAGGAAGTTGTGTCTCTTGAACTATCTGACTTAGAACTGTATTCAGACAACTTATTCATCTCTTTGGGCCCTATCCATCTGCCTCTCGGGAAATAAAAAAAATCTGTTAAACAAAAGCAGTGTCACTCATTAAATAAGCCCATTAGCTACTCCATTTTTTAAAAAGTAACTCAATTCTCCCATCCAGTTTTTCTACTCTTCTTCCATTTGCCTTTCTTTCTTCTTCCTCTCCTCTTCCATTTCTCTCATATTTGCTCTCGACCCACTGGGCAATCAGCTGTGTTCATCCATTGTGCTTCTGAGTCTTCCGTGAGCTATGCTGATCTCCTGGAGACAGAGAGCATTTGGGGGAAAGGCGAGCCAGTTTGGGTAATTTATAGTCTCGTAGTATAAGGGACGGGAGTAAGAAGAGCAAATGGAATTACAGAGATTTGCCCTTAAAAGAACCCCTATCCTCCATCCCCTTCTGTTTCTCCCACCTCCACACACATGCTGCAAAAGGGTAGTGAGAGTCTAGGAATAAACTTAATACTTCTCTCGGCGAAAACTGACGATCATCGGAAATCATGGCGCACAGCAGAAAAATGCAATTCTTGTCGGACTGTATTTTTCCTTCTTCTGGCTCATACTTTTGTTTTCTTGTTTTTTTCTTCATTAACTTGCCCTTCAGTCTTCCATCCAGTTGAGTGTTCGTACTGCCACAGTGAGAGTATGATGGGATTTCGCTACCGATGCCAACAGTGTCACAATTACCAGCTCTGTCAGGACTGCTTCTGGAGGGGACATGCCGGTGGTTCCCATAGCAACCAGCACCAAATGAAAGAGTACACGTCCTGGGTAAGGCAAGGTCCAGGCAATACTTACAGTCGGATGTGTGAGTGTCGTCCAGAATGCAAGGGAACGGCAAGCATGGTGACTGAATCAAGCGACACGCTTACCTTCTCCTCTCACATTCCCTCCTTCCCCTCCCACTCCCCACCTTACTGGGACCTCTTACTTATTGTGTCTGAACCCAGTGTAGCTTCCTAAGGCTTAAAATATAGGAAGACTCAAATGATATTACTTCTTGGAATACAGATAATTCAGTACCGATTTAGGTAACAACCAAACAGCAAGCACCTTCTGGAACATAATCTCATTTTCACAGTCAGTTAAGGTTCTTTTCAAGTTTCGGGGTGGTTTGTGGGAATCGCCTAAAAATTATTGTTAGTTAGATTCTGGAGTTGTCTTAACTGCATGACTGGAACATGAAGGAAAGACCTGTGAGCGTGTGGGCTTAAGGATGCTGTTTCATTCTACTTTTTTAGAGGAGGAGGAGATATTAGAAAATCATCTTTTCATGAGTAGTGCAAGTGACTAACTTGCTGGAGGTGACCTGTAATACTGACCTGCTAAAGGTGACCTGTCCATGTGATGAAAGTGTTCTCAGGAGCACATGGCCCTGTGTCTATGGGAGGAATTTGACTCCGTGAGCTTGCTGTTCAGGTGGTTTACAGTTTGCTGACCTCTGTCTCAGTTCAACTCAAAGACCAGATCCAGTGATGTTGTTCTGGTGCTTCTGTAAAAGTATTGCTCTATGTACAGATTATTTTTCGTGGAATGTGCCATCAGCCCTGCCAACTCCTCTTGGAATAGTTGTATCACAAGAAAATGCAGACTTTTTAGAAGCATTTTTTCTCTATTTTAATGTGTCTCAAATCAACCTATAGTCTTTACTTAAAGAGTAACTCATTTTATTTTTACAAAGGTCTTCAGATATGCATTTTAATTGAAGTATAGTTTATTTACAATGTTGTGTTAGTTTCAGGTATACAGCAAAGTGATTCAGTTATACATATAAGTATAGTACATATATTTATTCTTTTTCAGATTCTTTCCCATATAGGTTATTACAAAATATTGAGTATAGTTCCCTGTGCTATACAGTAGGTCTTTGTTGTTTATCTATTTTATATATAGTAGTGTGTATATGTTAATCCCAAATTCTTAATTTATCCCTCCCTACCCACCTTTCCCCTTTGGTAACCATAGTTTATTTTCTATGTCTGCAAGTGTGTTTCTGTTTTGTAAATAAGTTCATTTGTATCATTTTTTTTAGATTCCACATAGAATTGATATCATATGGTATTTGTCTTTCTCTGTCTGACTTACTTCACTTAGTATGATAATCCCCAGGTCCATCCGTGTTACTGCAAATGGCATTATTTCATTCTTCTTTATGGCTGAGTAGTGAGAATATACATTTTAAATCAGAATGTTCTTTCTAGGAATTATTATTGGGAACTGATATTCAGTGCAAATATATTAATTGTTTAGCACATGTCAGATTCTGAGTTCAAGTAAGAGTTCTTCACTAAGGCATTGTATACTGAGGGCTTGATGCCAGTTCAAATGCCACCCATCACTACTGGCTATATCACATGCTGAGAATAGATATACTAGCACAGATCATGAAATACAATTTAGTATAGAACGCTGGAGGAAATACTTTCTATTTTCTTATTGTCAGCGTATTACCAATTTTCAAATATGTTTCTATTCCAAGTCCTAGAGGGTTGGTGATTGTAGCCTAATCGTTTGTAATTGTTGTTTTATGTAAATGCTAAAGTCAGGTAAGGAGCCTTTTCTTAGGGGTTTTGAACTCTGCAATTATATGGCAGGACAATGTCTTTACAGAGTAGGATCAGACTCCTCACGAGTTCAAAGGAGCCCCAATGTTTATGGGGTGAAGAGCTGTTGTTACTGCTGTTTTAAGTGTTCTAAGAATTGCACCTCCTAGCAAAAGCCAAAGAGGGACTTCTTGGACAATGTTCCCATTACTTAGCTTTTAAAAATGAGGACAAAAGTCACTTCGTTATGTTGCCAGTTATGGACTCTATGTATCAAAGAAAGTGACAAAATGATAAATCGCTTCTCACAGAAAGGAAAAATTGGGGTAAAGAATTATTATATGTGGTAGACTATTTTTGATCATCTTGGCTGTGAAATCTTAAAATAAACATCCCACTGGTCCAAATGAAAAAGAGGTAGCATGATGCTCTGGAAAGAACGTAAATTCTAGAGACTCAGATTGAAGTTCCACTTTTCCTTCTAACTGGATGTATCCAGCCACACCTGAAACACCTTGCCCCTGGATTCCCGCAAAACGTCCTACCCATCTCCTTACTTCCATTCCCATCCCCTCTCAAACCTTTTTCTGTTCTTAAAGAGAAGCAATCCTTCTAGAATCAGGTCACCTCTGAGATTTAACCTGTTCATTGTCTCCCTCTGCATTTGAGATAAAGACCACAGTCTTGGACGCGGCATATAAGACTTCAGTGGTCTCCCTCCTGCTTTCCTCTCCAGAACAGGGTCTCCTGTTCTTCCTCCATCTGGAATTACCTTCCAGTCCCCTGAGTTTTGTCAGAAGGACCCCTGCTGTTCATTAAGTCCCAGCTCAGATGTCCTGAGCACAATGACTGCTTCCATTTATCACAGCATTTGCTGACACTGTGCAGCCCGAGGCAGTTACCCTGATGGCTAATTCCAAGCATTCTGGTCCCAGCAAAGAGCAAAATCCTTGACTTAGAGTAGATTATCAAAGAAGATTTCCTGAATGAATGAATGGATATCTACTATGAAAACAAATCATCTGATGAAATGTTACATAAATGTTGATTGTTATCACTTGAACCTTTCTTCTTCCTTCCAGAAATCACCCGCTAAGAAGCTCACCAATGCATTAAGCAAGTCTCTGAGCTGTGCTTCCAGCCGTGAACCTTTGCACCCCATGTTCCCTGACCAGCCTGAGAAACCACTCAACTTGGCCCACATCGTGTGAGTATCTCTACCCGCCAGACTGAGAGACAGCTTTCTTCACTGATGCGTGTGCAGATCCATACAAAGACAATTAATTTCCTATTAGTTGTCAGGGACCAAGTTTTAAATTTTATTGTCTTAAAAAAAAAGAGTGAAAGTCATGTTATTATAATTTTTTTCATGGAGAGGTATACAGTACTTCTGCCCAGATGTACAAGTATGCCCCACTATATAATTTACCTTGAAGTGGAAAATATTCAAAAATTTTATAATTGTAAAATAACGATGTTATTGGAGTTTGCACAATTGGACGTTAATAATCAACGGAATTACCGTGGTCAGGAAATTTTAAGGCACGCCGTACCTTAACGTCATGTGTGCTTTGAGTCCCAAATAGAGAAGCCCTCTGTTTCCTTTCTGTGCACAGCCAGTCATCTTAAAGATGCCAGCAAGCCTAGGAATCATTGCTGTTGTTGTTGTTTTATCCCAAGTTACATAACTTTAGAAGAATCATGGCCTGTGCAAGGGAGGGTTGAAGAAGGGGTATTGGAGAGGAAGCTCATCCAAAGTATGTGTGAGTTTGGGGGGCAAAGGGAATTGGCCCAAGGAACGGTGCTACCACCCCCCCTTCCACTTCCCAAAAGCCTCATGTCGGGGGGCCTCTCTCAGGCCTGGCTGGCTCAGAAAACAGAGGAGGCTTAGGTAGGAGAAAGTATTTCTTTCTTGGGTGTTATCTTGGGCTCAGAAGAAGAAAGAAGTTCATTACCTACTTTGGGGCACAGTTAGGAGTTACGTAGTCACAAGTGTCTCAGGAAGCCTCTAGAACAGGCTTTCCCCCTCCTTCTGAACTGCCTTTCATTGTGCACACTTCAGCACTACCACCTGCACTGCAGGGCCTGTGTTTGCCTGTTGACCTCGAGAGGTTGGCTGATGGGACACGTGGGTGTTAGGAATCCACCAAGGCAAGGTTCACGCTTCAGGTGGATGAGAACATAACCCATTAGAGGCACTGTGGTGCATCTCAGAGCCTTAGGAAAGCAGCCACTCTTTCCCCTAATGGACATAAACAGATCCCATCAAACCACTGTGCTGCAGCATGTCTGTGGACTTTGTATAAATCCCACAGGGCTTTGTTTGGTTTACTCTGGGTGTGTGCTGAGGGTTCATTGCCCCCAGCAATCCACACAAGTCTGGAAGCATCCACAAACTAATGTAAACTGATTCTGTAGAATGTGGTTGACTTATTTTGGGAAACTTTGCTCCCAAAAATAAGCCTTAAAGCAAACCAGGGGTAAAGAAATCTGGGAAGTGTCCCAAAGGACCAATCACCTGCAGAAAGCGAGCTCATACGAGCTGTTCTCCTAAAGTCTTGATTTACTTCCCCATAGCCAGGGACGATCACTTAGTTGCTTGTGAATGAACAAAACATACGTGAGAGTAGGTCTGGGCTCTCTGAGCTTGGCCACGGAGTCACTGTCTACCAGCCCCCTTAGGGGCTGGTAGAACCCCTTAGGGCTTCCCCCCCAAGAGAACAGCGTTCAATCCAAGATGATGGGTGTGGGGAAGGTAGGGAGAGGATGGGGGTAAACAGCCTGGCTCTAAGAGCTTTGCAGCAAAACGGAGTTAGGATGGGGCCTCGCACTTGGAGACAGAATTAAGTAGCAAGGCCAGGGACTTCCCTGGTGGTGCAGTGGTTAAGAATCCATCTGCCAATGCAGTGAACATGGGTTTGAGCCCTGGTCCAGGAAGACCCCACCTGCTGTGGAGCAAATAAACAGCCAAAAATAGCTAAATTTAAAAAAAAAAAAAAATGAGAAAGAAGTGAGGCCATGCCACACAATTTGGGTTCCATGGAGAGTTTCAGGATTCCCCTAAAATTCTACACGAAATGTGCCTTTTTCTGCTAAAAGTTCCATGTTTAACCAGATTCTTAAAATAGTCCTTGAATCAAAACACTGATCTGTACTCACGGATAATATATTTTTCCAGGGTGAATGTCAGTTTTAAAAGACAAATTATACAAAATATTTAGTTGTTGAAATAACACGCAAGAAATTCTGGATGCAGAGTGGCCAATCTCTATTAGAACAGATGTTTTACTATTTTTTTGCTTTAGACATTTTTCTATTTGTTATTCTGATGTTATTGCCCTGGACAGATATTTATGTTCCTTTTTTTTTTTGGATGGGGATATCCAAGACTTCTAATCTTAAAGTATGCTGTTCGTTTAGCTATTCTAAATTATCATAGGCACATAAAAGCCACTTAAGTAGTGGCATTTTGGTGTTTTGGCATTTGTTCTTAGCTATTATATTGCTTGTAAATGTTACCATGATTAACTGTCTCTATTCTATTCAATTTTTTGCTGCCAAAAGGGATACTTGGTAAGTCAATAGTCTTTAGTGTGCTTATAAAGACTTATAAGTGGTTATGAGACACAAAACAGGTGAGAGATATGAGGCTAGCTTAAAACTAATTCTGCCTTTAAGCTGAGCACTTTCAGTTTATGAAAAGAATGCCAATTTTATAAAAATGTCCTTCGCAGACGTCTTGTCCAGAAAGAAAACTTTGCACTAGGCCTCTGTGACCTTATCTTCTGGAGCTATTTCTTTTTCATAAGACTAAATATGTTTAAAATTCCCAATGTGACCTATTTATTAGATAAGGTACCTTGCCATTTGGTTGTGGAGGAAATAGGTCCCTTTGAAAACTGCTCTTTGGTGCCAAGGTTAGCCATTCTGTGTCCCAAGTTCAACATTTTCGTGATGAACGTTAAATGTGAAGCCATTTACTAAGGAACTGCAACTTCAGCTTTGGGGTGACCAGGTTCAATAGAGTAAATTTACCAGACTAGTTACAAAGCATTCCAAATCCACTTGTTTTCTCATTTCCTAGAGATAGAGCAAGAGGGGAACATTAATAAAAAGACAAAAGAAAACCAGAAATGTTGTCAAGTTGATTTTTTTCCACTTTTTTTCAAAGTTAAAATGAAGATATTTCATTCTACCTACTGTTTTAAAATCTGATACACCTAACTTTTCAAAATTCACAGAGCACATTTGTTTAAAATTAGCATCCTTCTTATAAAGTGAAAGTGTCCTGCTCAAAGCAGAATTAGCTTTAAACTAGTCTCATGTATCACGCGTATCCTAGATAAGTAATATAAAACACTAAGCTAGTTTTCAGAACTTCGGCTAATATGTTCAGAGTAGATTAGATACTGAACCTGCTATTTTGACCTCACCCAACAAAGAATGTGTCTTTAAAAAAATCTGAGAACGCAGTTTAGCATCAGGCACTGAGAACCAAAAGTGTCAATGAGTTTTTGCATGTAGTGCTGACATTTCATAACCTGCCTTGCATCATGTCCATTCCCATAAATACATTGGGACAAACAAGTCTACCTTTTTCTCTTCATTGTAGAATCCGAACTAACTCTGGTTTCCTAAGATAAAAATTAAACCTTTACAACTTTTTGCTCTTAGTCGAGTTGACACAACTAGATTCTATAGGCTACTGTATTCATGTTTCATCTTCAAAAAATTCTGTACTGTCAAACTCATATACAGAATTAGAGTGAAACTAAAATTTCCTGACTCAGAACGCTGCCCTGCCCCATCATCCATCTTCTGAACTCTAAATTCCACCTCATTGTACTGCGGAACATCTTACAGTGAACCTAAAATAAGACTAAAAACAGCTTGGAGATGAGATGGGGATCTTAGTTCTATCATTTTACCTGAACTAAGACATCAGTGATAGGAATGAAAATCGAGACAGTGGAGGACAGACATGATGCAGTTGGTGTTTAAGGTTGTGGACAATTCCAGGGAATATTGAACCCTATTTTCCTTCTCTAATCAGATGAAAAAAAGTGAAGTTTTTGAGATGCCTTGCACTATATGTCCTATCATATAGATCATCCAGATAACAGAAAGTCAGTAAATCCCTGTGGTGCTTAATTGTGTCTTCACTTAGAGCAAAGAGCGAAGAAGGCATGATACGATTTTGCAGCTGGGTCCTTACAGGCCCGGGTATCCTGGAAGAGGGCCATCGTCATGGGGAACACAGGAAGTTTCCAAAGCCTCGGGAATCTTCCTCTTCCCAAGAGGATGTCGATTCTGATTGTCATCAAGTTTTCTGAGCTTCTCTCTTTAGAAGTTAGTAGGCTGCCTCAAAATCCTCATTCTATCTGAGAATATGACTCAGTGAATCACCAAGGCTCAAAGCTCATGAATAAACATTCCTGTGGTTTCTGGAGATCTTCCCCGCAATGCTTAAACAGACATTCTATCTTCTCAAGGAAATGTAACTTCCCAAAACACTTCAAGAACTGAATTGGAAAATGTAAAATTCTGCGTTGATCCTGGGTAAGATAAGAACTCTGATCTTACCGACTCCTTTCCTTGAGAGATCGTATAGTTGTCAACTTGTGACTTTTATTTAACTTTCCATCCATTTTCCATTTAACTGTACTTTGTTTTAGGCCGCCCAGACCTGTAACCAGCATGAATGACAGCATGTTCTCCCACTCTGTCCCCTCCTCAGGAAGTCCTTTTATTACCAGGAGGTAAGTTCCAACCCTATTATAAAATAAACCTTTGGTAATGAGCCTTGATTTTGTGGCAAGAAAAATATTCTCCTTTAAGCCAAATGTGGAAGATTACTGTTAGAAACTAGTTTGTAAATATGTCACAAGTTGTTAATTTCATTCATTTGGATGCGTTTGAAGAGGGCTAGGATGGCTTTGGGAATGAATGTCACTTCTGGAAACTTGCGTTTACAATCTATCCACAGTAAGAATGCAGGGTATATTTAAGTTTTACTGCTGACACACATGCATTCTGGCTCATTGAGAAAGTCACTTTTATAGCACTTGGAATGGCCCATTTAAGCCGGGGAATTGGAATTTCAAGATGCAACGGGGAATTACGATGGACATTCTGAAACATCTCGTAATATAAAGCTCCAGATATAAAAGAATCTTCTTCTTAGTGAACTCTAGAGTTCCTGAGGCTAGAGGCTCAAGACCAAATTTGGAAATACAGTTTCTACATAAGTAATTCAAGGATAAGAACAAGAACTTTTAAAAAAAGAGGGCGGATGCATGTCTCATCTTTTTGCACAAAGATCCACTGCCCTGTAAGCAAACAGGCGAAGCAGACACTTCTCCTAAAGCTAGCCCAGTGAACAGGCAGGGGTCAAGAGGTACTCCAAGTCATTTGATCAAATATCACAAATAAAGCACCAGAGAATTATTTTAAGGAATACATGGAGAAGGCTCACAGGAAGGCAGAAACAAAGGTAAGGACAATTGGAGTGAGTAATTGAATGTAAGATTTCAAATGCCTTTCAGTAGGAAACGAATGGCCTCATGTTTCAAAAACAAACGTAATCAACCTCTTCCCGGAAGAGCTGCTGAGATGCCAGTCTCCCTGTAATATCCTGGCGCGCGCGCGTTCTAGTGAAGATTTGCAGACAGTGAGACTCAGAACACTGTTGATTTTTCCTCCGAGTTCCTGGATTTGTGTCCATCAGCAGGAACCTGAGATGAAGGTGTTCCCCATAATCGTAATCAGCGGAATAAACAGAACGGTGTTTCCCTCTATGAATGAAGCAAGTCTGTCACAGATAGAAATGGGAAGGCAATTGAACTGCGTAACCTCCACAGTGAAATCCTATGGTTGAAGCCCAGTTTATTCCTTTCAGCACTCCTTTTCAGAGCCACCAGCAGACTAAACCACATTTTCTAAGACCAAATCATAAACTGTGAAGTCTATTAGAAACATGGGCCTGTGCCTCTATCTTGGGACGATCTGGCGTGATGTTAACAAAGATATGCTTTTATTAGGAAGCTCTGCATTCTGCAAATGTCAAGCAGAGATAGACCCCATCCTTACTGAAGGTCATTTTATATCATTTCAGCTTGGACGGTGCTTTATGATGGATGCGTCTAGATGGATAACATGGCTTCTTCTCCTCTAAAATATTCCTATAATATTTTGAGCTGTTCTGGTTCCTCCAGGGGGCATGGTGCCCCAAAATATGATCATTTCCCTTTCTTCCCATTTTCAGTCCTTCTGGAATGTTCCCTCTGAACCTCAAGCACGTTGTTTAAAGTTTGCAGTTCTTCCTATCGTCACGGAGGTTGGCCTCTGGTTTCTGTTTTAAGGGTGCCGTTCAATAAAGCTGTGTACACTGAACGTCTTTCCTCTCTGAGTGGGCCTTGCTCTGTCCATGGGAGGTTTTAACGGGGTCTCATTGTTTGCATCCCTCAGGTTACCTGAGGGGATAAGTGCATCCAGCCCTGTGGCTGAGGAGCATTCGCTCATAAAGCTGTATGTAAATCAGCTTGACCACAGCGCACGGTCAGTATCCCAGCCCTGAAGCACTAATCGTAGTAGTAGTTCCATAGCTAGACCGCTAGTCCCACTTCATCACTAAAATCCTCTTGTAGTATGCTTTGGTGGTGATACAGGTCTTCTGGGGTTTCATGAGAGTCCATTGAGAATTTCCAACTTGAGCCGGACTGGTCAGCTCTTTTTCTCTTTTCCACTTTTCCACTCCTTTTATTGATTTTATGTCTTCAAGCCAGTATGTATGAGATGAGTAAATATGAAGAGTACCATGTTGGATCTCCTTCTTTGGACGATTCTCTGCTTTGGTACAGTTTGCAAGACCCTAGATGGTGATTCCTTAGACTCTTGTATTAAAGAGCCTCTTGGAATGATTTTAGCACTAACTGTGTGAGATCAGGACAACATCACATGGTTGGATCATATTACAGTAAAAGACTTGAGGACTTACATCTTTCTGTCCTCCTGGGCTTGGGCCATTTTCCCCCAGGTAGGGCAGTCTGATTCCTATTAAAGTAGCAATTTCACAACCAATTTCATGCTCTTAGTGTTTAATTTCTACCAGTTGATAATGCTGGTGGTGATCCCCTGTTTATTTCTTAGCCATGTCCATACGCTAAGGTTGATGGAAACCATCATGCCAAATGTAGGCATAAGTTAAAGCACCTAATCTTCCTACAGTTGGAACTTAACCAAAGAAATAGGACCTAGAGCTCTTCCCTCACTCCTACCCCACCCCAACTGCCCCTGTTAAAATCGGATAAAAACTAAAACCTAAACAAACCAAGAGTGGTGCTGGTCAGTGTTGAGGCTACATTAAAAAAGTAAGGAAGTTTGCTGTGCAGATACTTTATTTAGCCTGAGTTTTTGGTCTTTGGTATTGTGACAGAACTTACAGAGATAAAGCAGAATAAGGATGAATTGAAATCACTACTCCAGAATCCTCGCTACAAACTCCTGGCATTCCTCACATAGAGTCCTTTGCAAGCATACACTTTGATCTTCAAAAGGCACTAGGGCCTATCTTTGCAGTCTTCTGACATCCTGGTAACCTAACTCACACAGATTTATGAGGGTATACTACCACCATCTGCCCCATCCCCTGTTCTGATATCCGTTTCTAGCTATATCCTTGAGTCACTTTTCCCTTAACTTAAAAGAGGGAATTCTCAAAGGCACTCTCCCTTAACCCTTTGAAGTCTTCGTGTGTGTGTGTGTGTGTGTGTGTGTGTGTGTGTGTGTGTGTGCGTACTCAATGCTGATTAGCAGTTAGGCACAGTATGGATCAAATGACACAATTCATGGACAAATTCACTTCATTCATTTTCTTGATCATAACTATATCCCTAAACCTAGATAGTTTTCTTATAAATGCATGAGTTTATAGGAAAAGAACAACTAGATCAATGGAAATTTATCATTACCACTAGGAAGAGAACCGCCAATATATGATGTACGATTGGGCAGCCAACATTAAGCTTACGAAAGATAGCCTGCCATTATGGCAGATATTGCAAGAGCTGACCGCAAAGCCCTTCTCCCCCTCACTGCACACAGCATTATGCCTTTGAGTTTCTGCTGTTGGCATCAGGCCCCCTTTGTAAAATCTTAATTATCTTGCCAAAATCCTCACCTCATTTACGTGAGAGAGCTAACCAGTCCTTTCCATTTGGAAAATATTTCATTAGTTATGGCTATTATGGCCATTCCTTCATTAGCTACAGTAAGAACATTCTAAAAATTTGAATGGCTAGATACTTTTACCTCCAGTTTTAGAAACTTCTCTTAAAGATTTTACACATGTTTTTATAAATGCAACCTCTCAAGTCTTAACCACTCACAAAAAGAATCACTCTGGCTATTATATCTATAGCCAGAACTGACCACTCTCCCAAATGTGAGAACATTGCTTATGAGTCACAGAGTGTGTTGGACACAATCTCATATGCTATTTTCTGATTTGTCTGAAAGGCATTTGGTTAATTACTAATACTGTATTAGGCCCAGGGGTGCATATGGGGAAGATACACTGCCTTCCTCACGCACTTTCAACATCCTGATTCTTCCCAAGGGAACAGCCTTTGTGAGTTATTTTTGTGGGTTGACTGGTTGTTCAGTTGGTTGATTTGTTTGGGTTTTCAACCACAGAAAGGCTAATTCATGTGTCTTTTTCAGTTTTTTCAAATACTTTGCTTTCCCTAATCCAGATTTTTAATCTGACATGTAATGTTCAAACTAAATTTTAAACATTTGTGTTTTGGTAATCAAAAGTGAATAGAAATAAAATTGAGGTACTGAATTCAGACTTTGCTTCTGAAAATCAGTTTTCTCCATGCTCAGTATTTTCCAAGATTAAAGTCCATCCCTTTTCAGTCAGGAAAGGAGGTAAATTTATAAATCAGCATCATAAAATAGATGCATTTATAAATCAACCTCAACTGAAGATTTCTTCATTCTTTCCACACTTTCTGGGCATGTTGTATGAAATTTGAAATAAATACTCTCTGCAAGTAATTATTTATTCCATGTAGCCCCAGAGCTCCACTAACATGCTAGATTTTTTTCGAACCTGAATTAAACTGGCCTTCGCACTCAACTCTATTTCCTATACTAAAATGTTAGTGTATACTTAAATCTGCTGTCACCTCTTCTTCACTTTGATAACCTTTATTCTCTTACTAGAGTCGCTTTAGCTGCTGTCTGTGTGTGCTCTGTACCCAGCAAACTTTTCTAGAGCATCTTTTGGCAAAAACACAATTGATACAGCTTGATACTATCTGGGGGACAGCATAGTAAATGTAGTGAATCAAATATGACCTAAGAATTATTATTTCTTCCACGGTATCTGCTTAAGGAGGTTTGACTTTCATGCCAGCCTGAATTGATGACAACTCATTTTCCCACTGAGACACTAAGCTATTTTTTAATGCTTGTCTGCTGATTTGCGTGTGGCAGGTATTTTATGTTTCAGATCAAAGATGTTGAAAGCTAGAAAATGAAAGGGGAAAAAGAGTTTTTCAAGAAATTATCTCTTGGTAAAACTGACTTGTGGACGCTTTTTTATTTAAAACTAATTTATTTAAATTAGTTTGATGACCTTGGTATAGATTGTGTTAATTACATTGAGAAGCAAAATGTTATTCCCAATTGACAGTCAGCTAAGGAGGGAGCCAAGTTTACAAGTCATTCTTCACAAAGCCCAAACACCAACAAGTTTATCAATCATTTAAGAATCAATAAAAAAGTAAATCTCTCTTCTTAATTTGCCATGGTTCAAATATCATTTTCCATTTAACCATTGTGATGATAATCATGCCACATGACATAATTTGTTTATATTATATTGTTGCTCTGTGCAGGACTTTTATTTAAATCCTTTTATTTTCCTGTTCAATAAAAGAAAAAAATATTTGGCCAGAGCTAATATAATAACACAGCATAAGCAGAAGCGGTTTTCAAAACTATATGGCAGGTTTAAGCAAAAATCCAGGGAGCATTTGTGTGTGATTTTGTTACCTTAGAGTACCCCCAAAATGTTTGCACTTAAGCAAAACCCTGGCATCAGTTGTCATTCTCCAAAACGAAAGGGTGAATTTAAATAAATAAATATGAAATATTTTGAAATTGTACTAATCTTCCAGAACGCATTATGCCAGTGTGTGTGTGTGTGTGTGTGTGTGTGTGTGTGTGTGTGTATGAAAATTTTTGGAAGAAGGCCATTTATCTTTACATATGTTCTTTTCCAGAGTATAAAAAGGAATTGGTGAGAAAATAAGAGAATTTTTTTTTAGAAAAGAATAATCTAAAGGAATATTTCCAGCCTCTTTTCTTTCAGCAGAACACATGAAATTCAAATTTCACCTTGTCATACCCTCCAGGTATGATTGTCACCACACCCAATAATGAAAGTATGTGTGCTGAAGGAGGTATTTATACATTGGCAGGGCCTGGTGAAAAGAAAATAACGACAATAAGAAAAAGAGACGTGTATACACACAATTTTAGGGATGGTAGCATTGCTTCTCCTTGGGACTCAGATTAGAAAAGATTTATCACCCACAGTCAAGAGGAGTCCCAGGTAGTTAGCAGTTTCCAAGGTTAATAGGAGGAATGCATTTAAATTTGAAGACGGGGCATGCAGAAGATGGAGAAGTTTCCAGAGCTAGAGCTGCAGGAAAGCCATTGGCGTGTTTGGATGCACTGACATGCTGGAAGCAATCACTTCTTGATAAGGCCCTAGGTTCCAGTGTTGCCTGATCCCAAAGGCCACAACGAATTGGAAATATCACCAAACTTCTCCAAGCAGACTGCCAGAGCTACAAAATGAAAGTTTAAACATCCAAATTATTCTATAAAATATCGTGAGTGTACCTTGCTTTGAAGAGATTATCATAAATTACCTGATGTCACTACCTTTGCAACAACTCAGGAGAAAATTTTTTTCACTTTGCTTCCCTTCTTCAAGCTCCTTGGGAGCTGCAGAAGAAATTCTGGTGAAGATACTTCATGTGAACAGTCTTTATAGACCCAAGTTTTAAGTGAAACCTGCCTCCTGGTCTGCACTCTAAGTTCTTGATCCATTTCATTTAGAAAGAGTGCTTTTTTTTATTCTTGTTTTCATCATGCACTTGGCTTCCTCTATACGTGGTCATGTTTTCTGCTTCCCAGAAATAAATGATTAGGAGGAGAATTCAAGGCTAGTTCTAGGTAGTACAGAAACTATGTGGGCACTGAGTACCAAAAGTCAGAAATGCTCTTGGCACTAGATGCTAACAGCTTTAGCAAAATGAGATAAATTCAGAGAATATCATCCCCATATATTCCAAGAACTGGTTTTCCCAAGGATTCATATGGGAAAGGAAAGGAACATGAAAGGACTTAAATGATGCCTTCGAACCAGCACTGGCAAGGGCCAAGGCAAAGAAAATGGCAACGAAAGGACAAGACGTGTATATGGAGACATCTGCTCATCCCTTTGCGGAAAGAAGGGACTTGGAAAGAGCAGGGGAGACAGGCAAGTGGCGTAGAGGAAGGAGAGAGGGGCCCAGAGAATTGGAGAGAAAGAAAGAATGAGCCACCAGAGGAAAACTGGGGCAACTGCTCACTTCCTGCTACCAACCCTGCACCATGCTGATGTCACCAGGGCTCCTCCAGTGCCAGTGCTCATTAGTAAGTGGTGGGACACACTTCTGCAGCTTTATTGACACATCACCTTCCTCCCATAAGACGTCACCAGAGTAACTTATAACAAGCATATCCTCGTGGTTGATCCTCCCGTGTTTCTTTTTTTTCCTTCTTGCACATTCATCATCAGAGGTTGTAACTGTATAATTATTAGGCCTTTGATTTAAGGAGATAACACAATTTCTGGGATTCAAGGGGAAAAGTAGCGTATGTAACAAGGCAGAGAAATGGTTTCATTTGGAGGGAAGAATTCTTAATATTTCACACAGTGTTTTGAGTGGTTTTACAGGGATCTGAAATCAATTATAGAGTGGGTAGATCTATCTTGTATTATCAAAAAAAAAAAGTTGGGGGAGGTGATTGGGCAGCAGTGAGACCGTAGTTACTGGATAATGAGCTGTACTTCAGGAGACAAGGTTTGGAATGCTGTCTTGGTGGGATGGTGGGAAAACATCAACTCCAGTGGCTTAAGATGCTTATTTGCTCCTGATGGGCAGGTTTCATAGCCTTTGAAGGTGCAGATCAATATGCTTTAAAAAAGAATTAACTTCATCAGGAAAGCAAATTCTAGAACACTGATTTCATTGTTAAAGTCAATTTTGTTTGTGTGCAGTTGTGCTTTTTGAGTAATGGGTGCATTCCCGAAAAGCTGAGTAAAGTCATAATATTCAACAAACATTAATGCCTACTCTACACTAGATGTTTTCTTTATAGATCAAATTTGATTTTAAATTTACCAGAAGCCTCACGATTTAAGGAATCTTGTAGTATATACTATTATAAAACAAGAATTCCAATTATACCGTGCCTAATTCTAATGTGATACTCATTTATAAGTTGCTGTATTTTGTGCTTTGTGGTCTGAAAAAGTGGTACTTTGTAGTAAAACTTTTAAAGTTTTTAAGATTTTTAACTGCTTTATTAACCATTCTTTTATATAGAGAGATTTATAACTTCTTGAAAAGTTACGGAAGTTTGTGGTAAAAATCTAATAATTTCAATGCAAGTAATTAAAAACTTGGTATTCAAACAAAGTCAGACACTTAATTTTTGTATTCTCCATGAAGGGAGAAAGGGATGGTTTTAAGTACACCAGTATTGCAGGGCAAATTTCTAACCTGCAAAAGAAGAAGCTCTCTTTAAGCACATTACAAGTACAGTTATAGCACTAAGAATCAATATCATATTTCCCAGTGAACATGCCTCTTCATTATAGTTATAAATTCATTTATATTATATAAATTTTGGGTGCCTTTGGCTTGGCCACACTTTATTATTATTTATATTTCTATTTTCCTTTAATAAAACTACATTAAACTTTTTAATTTTTCATTAAAATTGCCAGTTAACGTGAGTGTTCTTCCTAATAAATCTAAAATGATAAGAATTTGCCCATTCATTGGACTCTTCTTCACCAGTTATAGACACAAGGAGTATGAATATATGTTTATAAGGCTCAAGGGTTTATTTCTCTGTTTCTCTGAAAGTTTTCTTCACAGCTTCACAGCCAAGGTCAGGTGACTTGTGCCTAAAGTAGCAAAACACTTTTAATATGACACCAATCTCTAGGTAATTTTCAATTCTCTGCTCAACACAGAAAGTCGGAGAATAGAGGGCAGGCTGGAGAAATAAGCTTCTTGTGTGGGATCTGAAGGCTGGCAGGACTTAGTGAACTGTTGGACTGTGTACAGGATAGTCTGTCATGAATGCTGAATGAATTGTCATTGTGTCTGGGCACATGCAATCTATTTGTTTAGCAAATAGCAGAGGTCAAATCTGGGACCATAGCGGCTTGTGTAATTGTAATTGTGGTTCTCAGGCCAGGTTGCTGCTCCTAGTTCAGCTATGTGGAAATCTGAAAACATCTTGAACATTTCAAAGTAATGAAAGAGCTGTCCAAATGGAGCTTGGAAGTAGTCTTGGGAGTTTCTGTTGCCAGTTTCTATTCTTGAATGCATTGCCGAGTTTACGCTCTTCTTGGCTTTCCCATCTTATTAACCAGCTCTCCTCCCAAGGACAGTGAAGTCGAGCAGAGCAAACTGCTGGCTAGGGCTGCTCCAGCTTTGCTGAAGGGCAAAGGGTAAGTTAAAGCCAGAGTGTTCTGGAACCCTGAATTAACTAAACTAAAAATGCTGATTTCTTGTGTCAAAGATGCTTTGTGTTTGAAAGACCATCTTTGATTTAGTCAAAGCAGCTCTGTTATAACCCCATTAACAGCACCAAGTAGTTATTTTGAGTAGACACATCTGTGTTGTTCCTCGCTTTCCCTGATTTCCTTTTCCTTTTTTAAAATGACTAAGCTTCAGATTTGATTTTCCAAAGGATAATCTTTGCTTGCAGCCTATTTCAGTGTATTTACTGTACAAATGAATTTCTTGGCCTTAGTGGTTTGAAGAATGCAATTCTGTTTTCTTAAAAGTTACTTGACCTAAGTGAAAATCTATTTTTAAAGAGTGAAATGGCATTGTGAATTTCATTGATTGGATTTTGCTTGTGTTTTTTCATAGAACATCGCTTAGTTTTCCTTTACTTGCTTGGTTTTCTAGATGCCTTTTCGACCACAAACTCACTCCTACCTGCCCTGCTTATTTCTGTCCACCTGTCCTAACAACACCCTTTCTTTCCTCCTGCCCTGTTTCAGGATACAGTACAGTCTGAATGTGGCAGACAGGCTAGCTGATGAACATGTTCTCATCGGGTTGTATGTCAACATGCTCCGGAACAACCCATCATGGTTAGTGCAGGTTTGGCTGCTTGACTGTCCTGCGAGAGGGAAACAGTCTGATCTCTTGACAAGCAGTCTCAGCAAGGGGCAAAGTCACTGGATGCCAGAGGTGTCACTAAAGCATTTTTTTAACTGATCCAATTAAAATGTCTTCTGATATTACTTTGGACACTGCCCATTAATGTACCATAGAATTCACATTTTTGTTTATATCTTAGCTAAAGGGACAACTCATGTAAGCGGGTGCTGTGCTAAATATTAGCATCTAGGGAGATGCAAGACTCTGGGTCCCACCGGTCAGTTCTGTGTTACATGTGCCATGTCAAATTACCACATGACAGTGATGCAGGAATTTGTCTTATTCCAAGGACTTGTGTGTTTCTACTGATTTGGAGAACAATCCTGCATTCCCTTAAGATAGAAGTGAAGAAGAGGAAAAGCGATAGGATGGGATTATACCATGGAAATCATTTCATCAACAATGATAACAGTGGGAGAAATTGTCTTTCAACTCTTCTCTTACAAATGTTTCAGGGTAGCCATCCTGATACAGCCTGCTTTCAAGTCCCACAGTATTCAAAGCTTACTTTCCAATGTGTGAATTCAGATAGCCTTATGTAATAGAATAAAGGCATTCCTAGAGTTTTTCCCTTTCTATTTTAGTTGTGACATAGTAGATTCCTCCCGTTGGTTCAAGTTAGTTAATAATAAATATACATTTCCAATTTGAATGAAAATAAATGCACAAACTGTATAATTATCATGTTTCATCCTAGTTTAGACAACTGTTTTACAAATATGTTTAGCAAACCAGTTCCTTAGAAATATTCGATTTTACTTGATAACCCTAATACATTTTCTCTGAACTGAGAGCCTATGGATTTTTTGCCATTATAACTATTAAGTGAGCCAATGGGTTAAATTGCCTTTAAAATTGGTCCCCTTTCTTCTACTGTGTCACAGAAAGCATCCCTCAAACATCTGGCATTCATCACCCTCACCACTTGGTATTGTTAACCACTTCTTTGTTTCTAGAACTTTCCTCCCTTGATGCCTTAGAACTATTTTTTGCAAGATTAGTACATGAGATGACTTTAGGTGATACACTGATGAACATTTATTTGTTTTAATAGTTATATATTTATCTTAATTTGAACTTTTTAAAATATATGTATATAACCAGTGTACTGGTTTAATTTTATACTATATGCTACTCTTTCAGGAGATAAAAATGCACTCTTCAGCTAAGCCCATCTCTTTGTTCAAATTTTCCCAGCTGGTAGATCGAACAGTTCCTCTTCTTTCTTACCTCTCAGCCTCTCAAAACTACAAGTGGAGTGATGGTTTTCATCTTATTCCCAGTGAATTTGGTTCCCCAATGTTATATGGTAGCTGAAACAATAGAACAATTAACGCCCCCCCCAAAATTTGTGTTGGTAATCTTCAAAGCAGGATATAGTCGATAAAGATTCAATCATGTCTGAATGCAATGATGTGATCTCACACCCTGTCCTCTCCTGTCCTTTGGAGTGTGTGTCCAAAATTCTAGCACACTCCGGTAATTTCCACCACTCTTCTTTGACCTTTTCTTAATTAAAGTTGTAACAGAGAAATCTCCAAAGAGGAAAGTGCAGAGTTTGTCACTCCCAGCCCTTTTCCCTCCTCAAGTGGTTAATCATAGTGACTTGATGGTCACTTAAGACTGTAAAACGGTCTCAGTAGAGACACCTTACATCGACTTGATGAAAGATAGATGTGACTTGTATTTTGAAAACAAAGCAGAATTTAAGACTGATCAATGAAGCTGACTTGTTTTTAAAAGCTACTGCCCTCCATAATTCTCATCACTTTGTTCCATCCTTAAAAAATTCCAACTTCTCTTTTCTCAGTTTGCTCCTTCCCTTTCCTTTCCATTTAATTAGATCCTAACCATTCCCCACATCTGCCAGGATTCTGTAAGAGAAGCAGTGATGTCTCCCCTCCTTTATCATTATTATAGCTCTGATGCTTAACCGTCATTCAACTGTGGTGAGATCTATAATGGTAGTAATTACAAGAGCCACCGTTTTTTAAAGCATTTGCCTCATGATAAGCACTGTGTTTAAAACTTTATTTACATAATTTCCCCTGGTCCTTAGATAAGCCGGTAGATACTCTCATTCCCATTTTATCGATCAGTAAAGGTATCAGTTTAGAGAGTTTACATGACTCTCCCACAGGCACATAGCTACTACACAGTGGGGCCGGGATTTCGACTTTTATCTAGCTGATCCCAAACTCATAACCACTGTGATACATTGCATCTTATAAAACCTACATAAATGCATGCCCTCCAGAAAGCTCTTCTGGACATTCCACAGCTGCATCCACCACATCTCTATTTAGTGAAATTGCATATCCCATTGTATTATTTGTATTTCATTTTAACAAATATTTTGAGCACATACTAGTAATAGAAATAGCGGTTGTTCATAAGTTACCAATTATGTATTTAGTTCTGTGCCTTGTGATTTCTCATTTTAGTTGTAAGCTTCAAAAAGACAAAAATTTTCTCTTCAGCCTCTTGGACATCATCACAGCAGCCAGAATATGAATAATAAATTTTACATTTATGAAGTGCTTCAAAAATGACAAAGCCCTTTCCCACACATTATTTAATCTGCTTGTCAAAGCCCTGTAGGTTTGGATATTATTATTGCCATTTCACTGATAAGAAAATGCCCGGTTACAAGACATCAAGTGACTTATCCAAGGTCACCTGCCAGCAAGGTCTTCTGATATTGAGTCTCATCTGTTTTCCACCTCATGCCTCGGCCTTCCTGTCTGTGCACCCTTCATGAGATGGTCTATAAAGAGAAATCTAATAGTTGTTCTTGCTTGAAAGGTGTGTTTTTGTAAGTATTCATATATGCTCCTAATTCACTCAGCGTAGGGGCCTTCTCCCCTATATCAACTGCTTAGCACAATGGGAAACTGACTCATCCGTAAATAGTTTGCTACTAAATTAAAGATATTCTAATGTGCCCTTGCTGGTTCTGATGTCAGATAAGCCAAATAAATAAACTGTAGATCAAGGGCAAAGTCCTACTGTCTTCCTAATTCCTAAGTGAAGTTTTAAAAGCCTTAATGGTTTTCAAGCACCTTCTTCACTGGGGGAGGAGAGGTCTCAGAGTTATCCAGTGAGGGCTTTTTCTGGCCTCTCCTAAAGCTTATCAGGTGTCCAGGCTTGCTAGTGGTTTATAGGACAGATGGTGGCAGGCAGACCAAAGGAGGTTGCAAACCAGCCCAGAACTTCCAACTCTAACCATAGTTTTAAGCCTTGATACTTACCAGTCAGAAGCTTCTGGCACGTTTCTCTCAACTCTGAAAAGGCCCCTTGTGTAAGGGAGGGAAGCAGTACAGTGAAAGGGTACAGTCTGTACTTTGACGTCATGATCGGTTGCTGTCACTTTGTTAGACCCCTGATCTCATATAATTAGGTTGATATCTGTCCTGCTTATGTTTTTCTCAAGTACAAGAAATGGGACATTTTGACGCCTATTTCCGGGTTTCACATATGAGGTCTAAGTTGTTACTTGCTCACTTGCTTCCTTTACTAGAGTCCTATGGCACTTAGTTCACAGCCCAGACCCATCACCGGGGCTGCAAGCCTGTGTGTGATCTAGCCCTCGCCTACCCCTCTCCCAGCCCCAGCTCTCATGGGGTTCTCCCACTCAACCACAATATTTAGTCACATCAGCTTTTCATCAGTTCCTAAAAAAAATTCCTAAAACTGCCTCAAAGACCATGATACTAGTTCTTCCCCTATGCCTAGAACATTCTTCCCCATTTTCCTCCTGCCCTTTCCTTCCACACACACATGAACTGGCTCCTTCTCTGGCTTCCAGACTCTGATTAAAGGCACCTCCCTACTCAGGTAGGTCTCCCATATTAGTCTGATCATGGAATACTATTTATTTCATTCTTGTCATAACTGTTATCATTGGTTCCTTGGTTGGTTGGTTCACTCCTACCTTCCTCTTATGGGGCAGACCTTCTCGGACTTGTTTACCACCATCTCTCTGGCACCTAGCACAGTGCCTGGCACACAGTAAGCGCCCAATAAATGTCCATTGATGTTGGAGAATATTGACAGTGCCACAGATATAAAATTCCCACTCACCCTAAACAAAATTGTTAGGAGTCCTCAGAAAATCTTTTTTACTAGAAAAATACTTTTTGCTATTAAAAAAATCACCTATTATAAATTAGCCCTGAAATTGAACATTTAGTGTAAGAGTATAAAATAGGTGAAAAAGTAAAGTATTAAACTTGACTTGAGTGAAGTGATAAATGTGGATAAAGACGAGAAGCAGCAAGTCACTGATGTGACAAAAGCAACTAATAAGGGGCAAAAAAAACCTAAAAGTGATGTTGGGCAAAAAAATTTTTTTTTAATTTTTTAATGTTCTCTGACCTTTTCCACTTTGTATCAGTTCACTGTGGCTACTGTAACAAAGTACAACAGACTGCATGGCTTGAACAACAGAAGTTTATTTTCTCACAGTTCTGGAGGCTAGAAGTCTAAGACCATGGAGCCTGCAGGGCTGCTTCTGCTGAGGCCTCTCTCCTTGGCCTGCAGATGGCTGCCTTCTTGCTATGTCCTCACATGGCCTTTTCTCTGTGCACATACATCCTTGTTGTCTCTTCTTCTTCTCATAAGGACACCAGTCATATTGGATTAGGCCCCCACCCTTAGGACCTCATTTAACCTTAATTACCTCTTTAAATTCCCATCTCCAAACACAGCCACATTCTAAGGCCCTGGGGATTAGGGCTTCAACACATGAATGTGAGGAGAGACAATTCAGTCCATAGCATGCTTCTACACCGAATCCACTGAATTGTATGCCTTTAATATTTTTAATGTGTAGGCTAAGATTTGACTGACTCTTTTCAGTAAATGTTGTGATTTTGAAAAGTATAAGTTTATTGCAAGCTGCAGAAAGGAAAAAGAAATTATTATCCAC